GGAAGTGGAGGTGGTGGAGGTGGAAGGGGAAGGAAGGAGTTCGGAGAGAGGAAGGAGAAGAAGGGAAAGGCTCGTAGGTGACGCAGGAGAGAAAGGGCTGCTGAAGAAGGGAAGGAAAAGCCTCGAGGTGTCTGTCTGCCTTCCTTGTTCCGACGCCAATGCCCTTATGTAATTATCTGACTGTTGTGTTTTTATTATACGTCCTTGGCTATCACCATTTTTTATATCTGTAAATCAACCGTTGCTCTTTAAAAAAACATGTTGGGTGTTTTACATAAGAAGAAGAGAAAGGAGAAGAAGAAGAAGAAGAGGAAGAAGAAAAAGAGGAAGAAAAAGAAGGAGGAGGAGGAGGAAAAAAAGAAGAAGGAGAAGAAGAAGAAGAGGAGGAGGAAGAAGAAGAAGAAGAAGAGGAAGAAGAAGAAAAAAGGAGAAGAAGAAGGAGAAGGACAAGAAGGAGAAGAAGACGAAGTAGTAGTAGTATTAGAAGAAGAAGAAGAAGAAGAAAGAGAAGGAAAAGGAGAAGGAGAAGGAAAAGGGGAAGGAGAAGGAGAACAAGAACAAGAACAAGAAGAAATAGGAGAAGGGGAAGGAGAAGGAGAAGAAGAAGAAGAAAAAGAAAATTAGAACAAAAAACTTTCTAAGACAAGTTTTGCAGTAGCCGTACTTGAGAGATGTCAATGCACTCCTAATATAAACAGTTCCATATTTGTCAGTCCCTCTTTGATTTGACTTTCCACTTCCCTAAGTCCTTTTTGCAACAGTCTCTGTGACGCATTGCCCACATATGCATAGACATCTCCTATATCACTGGCATTCTTTACTAAAGGAGCTATTTATAGTAACCCAAAAACTACTATGCTGAGGCGCCACACTACATCAAGCTGAAGGTCATACGTGCCATGTGCAGGGGTCCAGCACGTGATTCCAAGGCCATTGTCCATGTGGGTTTCTTAAGTTTTAGTTAAAATAACAGATTCGTAATTACCATGGCAGTCTTTATAGAACAACAACAAAATCACGGTTTTGATTGAAGTTTAGGAAGGTCTGAGTCTGTGATGGATTGGTTTCATCGCCGTGTTTCTATTTGTTTCTTATGATTCGTGTATATATTTACGACTAAATTGGCATAACGAATTAATCTATCGTAGAGCTACCGGAACTCCGTCACTTCTGGATCGACGCCCGACCACGCGACCAGACTCACCACCTACTCCACCAGAGAACAACCAGACACTACTACCTCAGCGTCGTCTGGCCTCTGATTCAACCCTCTCCTTCCCTATCTATCCCCCCCCCCCAACCCTAACCCACTCACTCCCTCCCCTACCCAACCCCTCCCATCCTAGCCGACCTTGCTCCACGCATCCCTCTCCGCCCACTTCTGCCCCTGCCTCCATCCCCCCTCCCCCGAGCTAAGCCATACCCCGCCCCTACCCTATCTCCTGTCTGTAAACATGCCCTTACTCCCCCACCCCCCCTACCCTAGCTCTTGCCCTTACTCTACCCCTTAATCCTTGTTCCTAGCCTACTTCCTACTCCCTACAACGTGCTCCTACCCCCTACCACGTGTTCCTACCCCCTTACCACGTGCCCCTACTCATTACCCATACTTCTACCTCTCTCCATACCCCCTTCCTCTACCCCTGCCTCTCCCTGTATCCCTACCCCTTGCCCCTAAACCCTACCCATACCCACCTCTCCCCATACCCCTACGCCTTGCCCCTACTCCCTAGCCCTACCCTACCTCTCCCCATACCCCTTGCCCTTACCAGCCTCAGCAGACATAGCATAAAAATAGAACAGAGACAGAAAAGAATACAAAAAAAATAATAGCAAATAGCAAAAATAGATCTAATTGAGGAGAGAAATCATTAAGAAAAATCTTTAAAAAAGGAGTCTTTAATTAAAACCTCGCATTTAAATCAAATATAGAACTGGACAATGAGGTAAAAATATCTTAAATAAATAATACAAACTTATAAAAAGATAGAATGACAAGCATATAGATAGATTGTGGTACATGATTACTTACATACGTACATACATAGATGCATGCATAAATATATATATATATATATATATATATATATATATATATATATATATATATATATATATATATATACATATATATATATATATATATATATATATATATATATATATATAATATATATATATATATATATATATATATATATATATATATATATATATATATATATATATATATATAGATAGAGAGAGAGAGAGAGAGAGAGAGAGAGAGAGAGAGAGAGAGAGAGAGAGAGAGAGAGAGAGAGAGTGAGAGAGAGAGAGTGAGAGAGAGAGAGAGAGAGAGAGAGAGAGAGAGAGAGAGAGAGAGAGACAGATAGGTACGAAGACGCAGGTAATTATTCAGATACATCCAGAGATGTGCTCACAAATAATAGACAAATTCATCCTATATATGCAGATATACAGACATGCATACATGTAGATAAAGCTGTATATGTATAAT